GACCTTGCCCAGTAAAAAGACAACCTTGCCCAGTAAAAAATGACCTTGCCCAGTAAAAAAATGACCTTGCCCAGTAAAAACATGGCCTTGCCCAGTAAAAAAAAATGACCTTTCCAGACCTTGCCCAGTAAAAAATGACTTTGCCCAGTAAAAAAATGACCTTGCCCAGCAATGACCTTGCCCAGTAAAAAAATCACCTTGCCCAGTAAAAAAACAACCTTGCCCAGTAAAAAAATAACCTTGCCCAGTAAAAAATGACCTTGCCCAGTAACATGTTTACTGGGCAAGGTCAATTTTTTGCTGGGCAAGGTCGTTTTTTTGGACAAAACGACCTTGCCCAGTAAAAAAATAACCTTGCCCAGTAAAAAAATGACCTTGCCCAGTCAAGAAAATGACCTTGCCCAGTAACTCATTAACATTTAAATAATATATGAAAGAGAGGTTTAGGGTTTAGGGTTTAGGCCTTTAAGGCCCAGAGAACCTGAGGGACAGGGTTAGGGTTTAGGGTTCAGGGGGTTTACCCAAAGGCTCCTATGTAGTACCTTTCTGGGGGGGGGGGGGGAAAGTATACTAGAATCCCCTATGACGAACCCGAAAAGGAACTACATTGGAGCCTTCAGGCAGGGTTTAGGTTTTGGAGTTGGGTTGTTGGGGTTTTAGGGCCACTTTTGGGGACTCGGACTTGCGAATGCTTTAGGAGGTTCAGGGTTTAGGGTTTAGGGTTTAGGGTTTGGGTTTAGGGTTTAGGGTTTAGGGTTTAGGGTTTAGGGTTTAGGGTTGAGGGTTGAGGGTTGAGGGTTTAGGGTTTAGGGTTTAGGGTTGAGGGTTTAGGGTTTAGGGTTTCGGATGCCAGGTGCTGCGCGTGTTCCCAAATCCCGAGCGCTACAAGACCTGCTACCTGGATGACTGGGACGAGAGGATCAAGAAAGTTGATCGGGACCGCATGCTGTTCTTACACTCTAGGGTTTAGGGCTCAGGGCTCAGGGTTTAGGGCTATGATACACTATGACCTACTAGGAGAGACTGACACTATGATCTACTATCATGGCATACGATAATACACTAGGAGACACTGCAACCTATCACAAGTCAGTCACTGTAGCATACGCTGTTACGCCAGAATCCTTCACAAACTGCAACCACCTACTATCAAACACTAATCGAAAACTCCTGCAATGATTCCAGTTTTCTGTGAGCAGGCGCCAAGCTGGCGCTAAGTTTCCCCAGGAATTAGGTTTCAGTTTTGTGTATATAGCACTTGAGGATCTGAGTTTCGTTTATGTAAAACTTCAGGATATTTGTGCTTAATTATGAGGGCTTTTCAGGGGAGCATCGGTAGCTCTACGTTCGGCCTTGTTGGGCCTCCCGCTCCCTCTCATGACTTTGGATACCTACAAGTAAGTAGGGTAGCCGTGGTTATATCCCGAATTAGGGTACTTGTAACCTACTTATCAGTACCCATGAACCTTCAAGTATGGGTTTAGGTCACTCTCGACCCTCAGCCCAACAAACGCCGATATTGTGTCCCATAGGCAGATGAGCTCTTCATGCCTGTGCTACATCCTGATGTGCTAACCTCCGAACAGCCAAGAACCTCGGCTTTCCCTTTCACAATCCCTCAGGGGGCTGAAAGCCCAGGGACCCTCAACCCTTCACCCTACATAATTCAGCCATCCCTCCACCTGGAAGCCCAAACCCTCCAGATTCGAGGCGGGGACCCGAACCGACTCTTAACCCTAACACCCTATGCCCCTAAAATCCGAAACCCTAAAATCCTAAACCCCAAACCCTAAACCCCAAACCCCAAACCCTAAACCCGAAGCCCTAAACCCCAAGCGTTGAAGCCTAAACCCCAGAAACCTAAACCCTGAAACCCCAAAGCTGAACCCTAATCCCTGGAGCCCTAGACCCTAAAACCCGAAACCTTAAACCTTAATCTCTACATTCCTCAACCCTAAACCCCAAGCCTTAAACCCCAAGCCTAAAACCCTAAAACCCTAAGCCCCAAACCCTAAACCCTAGACCCCCACCTTGGGCAGGATTTTGTCGTCGTGGACAAGCCTCCACTTCTTCCCTGCTCCGCACATGTGCTCCCGGCGGCTTAGGCTCCCAAAGGTTCAAGGGGTTTAGGGTTTAGGGTTTAGGGTTTGGGGTTTAGGGTTTAGGGTTTAGGGCTAGCGTGTGGGGTTTAGGGTTACCCCATACCATGCATCGTATTCCGGGAATCTTCTGCCCGAAGGTTCTTCTTTTCTCTCATGTTTTTCTTTGTAGGTTTAGGTGTTTGGGATTAGGTTTTGGGGTTAAGGGCGGGAAGGCTGGGCATGGACAAACCATGCTAGGAGTCACCCCTGAACGCCCGAACACTGGAGCCACCCTCAGCCCTCAGCCCTCAACCCCAAACCCTAAACCCTAAACCCTAAACCCTAAGCCCTAAGCCCTAAACCCTAAACCCTAAACCCTAAACCCTAAACCCTAAACCCTAAACCCTAAACCCTAAACCCTAAACCCTAAACCCTAAACCCTAAACCCTAAACCCTAAACCCTAAACCCTGGCCAGGTCACGAACGGAAAGGAGACGTTGAGCCGCGCCGTTGCCGACGGACTCCACGCTTGGCACCCAGGGGGCCCAGAGCCCACTTGTTTCTGGTTTGGGGTTTTGGGGTTTAGGGTTTGGGGTTTAGGGTTTAGGGTTTAGGGTTTAGGGTTTAGGGTTTAGGGTTTAGGGTTTAGGGTTTAGGGTTTAGGGTTTAGGGTCAGGGTTGAGGGTTTTTGGGTACTGATATGAGCTTTGAGCTTTCCTAAGGGGTTGGGGTATCAATGTTTGTTGTTGGCAACTATGGCGGTTTCAACCCTAGACTCTGAACTCTAAACCTTATCTCCTTAACCCTAAACATGTTACGTACTCCCGTCGATAGTGCCGAGATGTGAAGCATCGCATATCTGTAGATCTGAGAAAGCTCGCTCGCAAGCCTTGCAAGCCCCAGAGACCCTTAAAACCCCACCTACCCCAAACCCCAAGCTCTGTAGACCTTAGATGCTCCAAACCCGAAACCCGAAACCCTAAACCCTAAACCCTAAACCCTAAACCCTAAACAGGTCCGGTCCGTCCGGGAAGTGGAGCTGGGCATGGACGATACGAAGCTCGACATGAAAGCTGTGGGGGTTGTAGGGTTTAGGGTTTGGGGTTTAGGGTTTTGGGGTTTAGGGTTTAGGGTTTGGGGTTTAGGGTTTAGGGCCAAATTTTATCTGCCAGCACTACTTCCAAACCCTAACCCCTAAACTAAACCCTAAACCCTAAACCCTAAACCCTAAACCCTAAACCCTAAACCCTAAACCCTAAACCCTAAACCCTAAACCCTAAACCCCCTAAAGCCTAAAGCCTAAAGCCTAAAGCCTAAAGCCTAAAGCCTAAAGCCTAAAGCCTAAAGCCTAAAGCCTAAAGCCTAAAGCCTAAAGCCTAAAGCCTAAAGCCTAAAGCCTAAAGCCTAAAGCCTAAAGCCTAAAGCCTAAAGCCTAAAGCCTAAAGCCTAAAGCCTAAAGCCTAAAGCCTAAAGCCTAAAGCCTAAAGCCTAGCCCTAAACCCCAAACCCTAAAGCCTAAGAAGCCTCACAGAGCTGGGCACAAGATAGTTTCGACACGCACCCTGCTCGCGCACGCCCTTCGCCAGAACTGCCAACTGCTTAGGAACCCCCACAAAAATGACATCTATTCTTCCTTCTAAGGGAAATATGGGGATTATTCTTCTATATTTTTTTGGGGGGAGTTCTTAAGCAAATAGTATAACATAGCCGCTATGAAAACCTTATATAGTCCCTACATACCGAAGTAGGGCCTAAATCACCCCGAAAGAGCCCGTAAGGTCCTTACAAGGGTCCCTCCTTTAGTTTTTTGCGTCCTAAACCCTAAACCCTAAACCCTAAACCCTAAACCCTAAACCCTAAACCCTAAACCCTAAACCCTAAACCCTAAACCCTAAACCCTAATCCTTCCCGGTGTTAGAGGAACATGACGCCCATGACCTGCATCGATGAGGAGGCCCAGAGCATGGCCAAGCCCTAGTTAAACCGCCTGAGCCTTAAACCCTAAACCCTAAACCCTAAACCCTAAACCCTAAACCCTAAACCCCTAAGCCAACCCTACACCCTTAGCTTCTCAAGCTGGATGCCCACCCGGAAACGCTGCGGACCTACAAGAATCCCAAAGAAACCCTAAAACGTAATAATCGACCTTGCTGACCCTACTAACCCTGAAACCCTGCTCACCCTAGCAACCCTAAAAACCCAAACAACTCCAGCAACCCAAAACCTCCTCACATCCCGCATCAGGAAACCTCCACCCAAGACTGCTGCAGCCTTATTAGACTTTTACACCCCAAGCTCTTCTGCCGGAAGCCCATATCAGAAGGCATACTCGGAATTTCATCAGGGCCCTTACAAGTGGGGCTGAGTTGCGCTTTGGGATGTTTTTGATGTTCGCTTCTTTCCTTCTAAGGGACCCTAGTCTGTAATAATCTTCAAATGGTTTAAAGCACAACTCACGGTTTGTAAGTGGGTGAGTTCTTGAATCTTTAAGCGCTTTGGGCTTTTGGCCATGGTGGCTTGATACGCCGCAGTCTGCATGTGGGTAGTTCTCCAATTGCGGGGGTCCCTGTTGGGGGCCTTCGTTTCACGGTGCCGTACTATTCCTAAACCCTAAGCCCTAAACCCTGACCCTAAACCCTATAGGACCCCCAAAAGGGGCCCTCGTTTATTCAATTAGAGAGCTAGCCATGTGTGACGTGCAGCTGTGGGCTTCGACTTGGGGCTCAAGGACTCGGTTCCCAGACAAACCTCTAAGGGCTCAGCGTTTAGGGTTTAGGGTTTAGGGTTTAGGGTTTAGGGTTTAGGGTTTAGGGTCTACGGTTTAGGGGGTCTAGGATTCCTCTCCCTCCTGCTTGTAGATTCTTTAGTCTCGCATTTGAACCCGTACTATAGCCTTCAGGGTTCGGAGAACAGCCAGCC